AAAAAAAAAAAAAAAACCCTTCTATTGAAAATATAAATACTACGTCATATTACAATACGTCTTGAATATGAGTTAATAAAAGACCATCAGATAGGAGCAAAGAAAGAAAACAAAAAAAAAAAAAGACCATTATGTTTTCATATGTCCTATATAAATGTTTTTTTTTTCAGAGTCATATCTTTATATCTTTTCACCTAAACAGCCACATTATCCGGAAGCTGATGAGGATACGACACCTGAGAACTGTGGTCAAAGTTCTCTTTAATCGTGCGTGCCGATACCCACCGCGTTAAGAAGAGTGCACTACCAGGCTTGTCATTTGATCCACTTGCGCGTGCACCACCAAACGGCTGCTGACCCACAACTGCACCAGTGCACTTATCATTGATGTAGTAATTTCCAGCCGCATAACGTAAATGCTTTGACGTAGCATCCGTGATAGCTTGACGATCTTGCGAGAAGATGCTACCAGTGAGTGCATACTTCGTACTGGAATTAATGGTATGGCACACATCCTCCCAGAATCCCGGTTTACTATCATCATACACATATACCGTCAATATAGGACCAAAGATCTCTTCACAGAGTAATTGCGCCTTAGGGTCTGTAGTCTCAAAAATTGTAGGCTGCACAAACCACCCTTCTGACCTATCACAGTCACCACCAGCAATAAGTTTATAAGTTGAAGGATCTGCTTTGGCAATATCAATATATTTTTTATTTCGTTCAAAAGCGACATCATCAATAACGGCGCACATAAAACTCTTAAAATCATCTGGTTGTCCCATTTTTAATTGTGCATGAACATCAAGCATATAATTCTTTAAAACTTCCCACTGGCTCTTCGGAGCGTAAAGTCGTGATGTCGCACTGCATTTTTGACCTTGATATTCAAATGATCCACGCACTGTTAAAGCTGCGGCAAGCTTCATATCAGCAGATGGATGAATTAAATGAAAATCTTTTCCACCAGTTTCACCACTCACACGAGGAATATTACGATACTTCTCCAGTTGAGCGTAGATTTGCTTATTAATAGATAGAAATACATTAGTAGATCCTGTAAAGGCCACACCTGCCAATTCTGGATGAGCATTCACAACGCCGGTCATAACATCTGGTTCACATGGCATGAAATTCACCACACCAGCTGGGAGTCCTGCCTCTTCAAATACTTTAAACAACATGTAGTTTGAAAGCACAGCATTAGGTGATGGTTTCCATAGAACGACATTTCCCATCAGTGCAGGACAGGCAACAAGGTTGGCAGCAATAGCACTGAAGTTAAATGGTGCAATAGCCGAAACGAATCCTTCAAGAGGACGATATTCCAGTGAATTCCAAATAGCTCCACTGCTTGGAGAAATTGGTTGATCATGGTATAATTGTTCTGCATACTTCACTGAAAAACGTAAAAAATCGCATGTCTCGGCAATAACGTCAATCTCTGCTTGAAAAGGATTCTTGCTCTGTCCCAACATTGTCGCCGCACGAAGGTCATGGCGGTACTTTGTAGATATCAAATGTGCCGCGTGAAGAAATACAGCTGCCCGTTCCCTGAAAGATGTCTGACTCCACGTACGGGCTGCCTTGAGGGCAGTGTCTATGGCGTTGTGTGCCATCTCCGGTGTGGCATTATATGCTGTTGCGAGATGCTGTTTGTGGTCCGATGGAATCATGCGGCGGATAACGTTGTCGGTGCGGTACTCTTTGCCGCCAATAACGATGGGGCAGTCTGTCACTGTTTCGCGCAGACGTTTGCAAGCGTTGAGGGTTCCGTTAGCGGAGGGGGAGTTCGGCTCAAAGGCGTCCATCGGTTCATTTACGATCGGTGGGACCCGCGCGTAGGCGTAGGCGAGTGACAGTGAGCGGCGGAGCATCTCAGTTGGCTGTGAATTAAATGTAGGGGTTTGTAGTAACTGTTTGGAGAGACTGTGTTATCAAGAGAAAAATAGAGCGGGAGAGAGAGAAAGAGAGAAAAAAGAAACCGTAACTAATAGAGAAAACAGAGAAAAGGGGAGGGGTGAGGGGGCGGGCAACAGGTATGAGACCGAGAAAATAAGTAGAAACAGAATATATATATATATATATATAAGAAAAAAAAAGAAAAAAAAAGAAAAAAAAATGAGGAAAACAGATTCCTAAACATTTATTACACCAATTTCGAACTTCTGAGAGCGCACTTCACATCATTGCTTTATGTGACTCACACTATCCCTCTCTCTGCACAATATACTCATGCATGACAAATACCACGTTTATCAATCCGTAACAATCATAATCAACAACAATATCCATATCAACAGTAGTGTGGCACCAATGCACGGACGAGTTAAGAAAAACCATACACAAACACGCACGTACACAAAAGGAATACACAAAACCATTAGTATCTATAACCTTTTACATCCATGAATATATACATATATATATATATATATATATATATATATATATATATATATATATATTAATGAATGGTAAATGTATATGTGTGTGTGTTTCCCCACAGACCAGCTCCAAGGATAGAATGCCGATACTCATATACAGCATCCCAATCCAACTGCAACAAAAAATCGCAATGGTTTTTTGCACGTAATTGCAGCACATGTTTTTTTTTTTCTATTTTTCTTTTCCTTTCGTTCTTACTTTTTTTCTTTCCTTTCATCATTTGGTTCTGTTTTTTTTTTTTTTTTTTTTTTTTTTTTTTCTGTTTTTTTTTTTTTTTTGTTTTTCTTTCTTTCTGACTATTTTTACTTCAACGGGCAGTCACGAGAAATGTGGCCCGTCTTACCGCAGATGTGGCACAAATCATTTGCATACGGCCTTGGCGACTTTGATCGGTCTCTTCCACGTTCCTTTGAACGATCTCGCTTACGATCACTGCTGCTGCTATGTTTCTCCTTCTTCTTCCAGTACTTGGCCTGTTCCTTCTCCAGCTTATCCATCAGCTTGCGGGAGACCTTTATGATGTGTAAATAGTTACACTGTGGACCACGACCACATTTTCCCTCGAGGTCTTCTTTACAGCAAGCATCTGTGAAATTGGTGACAGGACTCAGTTCTGGGAGAATAATGATTTCATTTAATTTCTTAGCTTTCAATTCACGAACAATATTGGCGGCATCAGCGGGATCTTCGAAGCGAATATACACATTCCCAAGAAGATGATCTCCAAGGTTACTCACAACGCGTAATTCCGCAATTTTTCCAAGTTCCATAAAGGTACGCCAAATCTTCTTGTAAAAATGTTCAAAGTGTCGTTTTAAGTACTTTCGCTCAAATTGAAAATCCCACTGTCTGTCCTGGATGTGTTCAACCGCCATTGGATTTGGGTACATCATTGGAAAAAGTACAGTCGGTGACGCAGTTGGGCGCACATGTACTTTAGTGCAGTTATCACCATGGCGACAAGCGCCCATTTTTGAAAAGAAAATGCAGCGATCCTGGTACATTCACTGCAGTCAAGTCAACAAGATGAATGTGATATGGTTCCCAGTCTGAAAAGATTAAAAGAAGAATGTACTTATGGGGATATACAATAAAATATATATTTAACGCAATACAGTGTTTTTTTTTTTTTTTGTTTTGTTTTTAGGGGGTAGGTAGTGGATTGTTTATTGTGTATCAACGGGTGCACACGTTTACTCACAAATGACTAATATTGGGGACAAAAAAACAACAGGAAGAGAGGCTATCACAGAAAAGATACGTCAATTAACATACCTATTTTGAAAGAGGTACAAAGAGAAATGCAGACAGAAGCAATGATCTTCTTAATCTTGCTTTGCTTATGACTTTGCTTTAAGTTAAGAATGTTTTTTGGAAATGAAAGATGCAAAGATAAGATAAAAACAAAAAAAAAAAAACAAAGAACTTTCTTACTTAAGGACTTATACTGGCATGTATTGATGTTATCGGTCTTTATTTGGTACCATTACTACAAATACTACTCCTAGTACTATTTCTTCCTTCTTCAGAAAAAAAAAAAAAAACCAAAAAAACACAAACCTTTTCTTCTTTCCTTCTTCTTCTTCCCTCCTGTTCTCCCTTTCTAAGAGATCTCTGTTGTACTGTGCTTCATGATAAGAAGAGCAGTTACAGAGAAAAAAAAAAAATAAGAGGCAAGAATAACACAAAGTAAACATATATATACACACATACAAAGAAAAGAAAAAAAAAAAAGAACATAGCCAGCAATTTGCCTTTCCACCATCACACAGTATATACTTTGCCCCAACACTTTACGTCACTCCATGTCGCTCTGCAATAAAAACTTGTACCATCATCTCCGCTTCTTGTCCTGTATACTCTCCACTCGCAATACTCACACAAATAAAACATGCTGAGTGAGAAATAAAGAGAAGTAGAGAAGGAAAAGTAAATTGACAAAGTGCCAAGTGGAGCAGAAAAAAAAAAAAGAAAAATAAGTACATATATATATATATATATATATATATAATGTCAATAAAGCAAATAACAACGTGTAAAACAGATGCATCTATGTAAGAATCTATATTACTTAGTCACTGTACGAAACGATGGAAAGCTCATTTTCACTCTCTGAAATTTCATCATTGTAATCCTCAGTATGTGTATAGAGCGACACTGCACCGTTGCACATTGTGACGGTATCTATGCGATTCAAAACATTCTCAGAAAGAACACCACAATCGTATGAGAATTGTGAACGTGAACACAACGCATGACCATATGTAACATGACGACCTAACGTTGTCAATGCACGAGATAGCGCAGTGTCGACAAGTTTGCGGAGTTGTTGTTGCTTTTGTTGTTGCTGTTGCCCACCCTCGCAGCGTTCTGTGCGGTTAAAAAAATTCTCTACGGCTGTCCGTGTTGATAACAGTGATGCCGTTGTTTGTGTAGTCTTCCATTCTGTTGCTGTTGCTGCGAGCACCGCCTCCTCCTGACACCACACGTACGGCACATCGCAGAAGGTCACACTTGATTTGGTGCAGCATCGTATTGGGATGTCGCCTTCACTGCGCTGCTGCAGCAGCAATTGCGGTTCCTGCTGGCGTGTGGATGGACGCCCGGCAACAGCGCAGAGTAGACGCTCCGCCCGGTGATGGACCACCGCCACTAATGTGTAGGAAGCCGCAGTCAACACAACATCTGTGAACTGCAATGCCTCCACAAAGCGAGAGACCAGCGCATCTTCAGCGAAGCCTCGTCTACTGCAGTCCATCACGTAACACACAAACTCATCACTGTGGGATTCCTGCAGTCGTGTGCAAAATCCTCCACTGCTGCTGCTGTGACTAGTTGTTCCATTCTCCCGCCCCGTCCCACCGCGCTGGGGCCGCACAAGAGTAACGAATGCCTTTGCAAGTTGCGCCGAGGCGAGCCACGCCGCATGTGTGTTGGCAACGGCGTCACTTCTCGCGGCCATTGTGCAACAGCGGCGGTGAAGCCGAACGTCTGCATCAATTGCGGCGTTGAAAAACATTCCGCAGCGACCGCACGTTTTGGCCGCCGCCACGTCGCGCTGTCCAAAGTCGAGTGATGTCTGAACAGCAGCCCGCTGGCGTTTACTGCCGCCGCGCCTCTTCACATCTGCCGGTGTTTGTGGAGACTTTTCAGGCGAAGGCGTTCTTGTTTTTCTTACTGCCTCTACCACGACTGCTGCTGCTGCTGTTGTTGTTGTTTTTGTTGTTGTTGTTCTTGCAGTTAGTGTGGGAGAGTCTGGGGCCTTCTTGGAAAAGAAGTCAAATAGACTCCTTTGCTGCAGTTTCATTCCTAACGCCAGGTGCTAAATGAATTTACAACAACAAAAAAGAGAAAAAAAAAAAATTGAATGAGTAAGAAGTGAAGAAGGGATGAAACTCTTTTTTTTTTTTTTCTCCCCACAATACCTGCTTAGTTGAACAAGAAAAAATAAACTCATTACAAAGAGAAAAGTAAAAAAAAAAAAGACAACACGAGATTTTTTTTTCTTTTTATCTTGTCGGATTTGATATTAGTTTTTTTTCTCTGTGTGTCTAGCTTAAATAGTTCACACCTTAACGCAGCTGCTTAAGAACAACTTCGCGGTATTCAGTAAAGTCGCCATCAAAACGTTTGATACTCTCATTGGCGCACACGTGCATTTCATCACATAACGAAGTAATAAAATGTTCATCGTGAGAAATCACCAATAAACCACCCTTAAACTCCAATAATGCCTCAATAAGAGCATCAACAGTGTCAATATCAAGATGATTTGTTGGTTCATCAAGCAATAATAAATGTGGACGGGTAAAGGTAATCCAAGCCAATACAACACGTGACTTTTGACCACCAGAAAGAGTGTAAATAGGTTGTAATGCCTTATCACCTGCAAGACCTAGTGAACCAAGATGGGCACGCAATTGTTGGTCTTCTATATGAGGAAATTTAGATCGCATAAATTCAATAGATGAGAGTTGTGGTGTAAGAGACTCTAAATGATGTTGTGCAAAATGAGCAATTCGTATCTTCTTATTACGTACAACATGTCCTTGACGAGGTTCCAATTTGCCAAGACATAAATTCATAAATGTTGACTTTCCTGCTCCATTAGCACCCAATAAACCTATACGAGAGGAATCATCAAGACCAAAGTTAACATCACGGAAAAGTACTTCACCAGGTTTATAACCAAATTCAGCATCAACCATTTGTAAATATGAACCTGATACCGCTTCTGGTTCGGGAAATCTGAAAGAAAATTGTGGATCATACTTTACGTCGGATACAAATTCCATTCGTTCTAACATTTTAATACGTGATTGAGCCATTTTTGCACGATTCGCATTATAGCGGAATCGATCAATAAATTTCTGCATATGTGCACGCTGCTTCTCTTGTGCTTCATGAGTCTTTTTCTGTTGTCGTAATTGTTCCACACGTGTAAGCTCAAATTGATCATAATTACCCGTATAATACTCCAGTTTCTTATCATTCAGATGAATAATTTCCTCACAAACGTTATTTAAAAAGGAACGAGAGTGAGAAACCACCACAAGTGTTCGGCGCCAGTCTCTTAAAAACTGTTCAAGCCACAAAACAGCAAAGAGATCAAGATGGTTAGTCGGCTCATCCAGAAGTAGTACATCTGGTTCAACAAACAAAGCGCGGGCCAACGCCACACGCATGCGCCAACCACCAGAAAGATTTTTAGTAGGTCCTGTCATCATCTCTCGTGTAAAACTCAATCCACTTAAAATAGATGCTGCTCGTGCTTCTGCACTATGTGCTTCAATAAGATCAAGACGCTCATACACATCCTTTAATCGTGCACTCGCCTCATCATCACTGCGTTTTAATAACTCTTGCTCCTCCTTTAATAATTGTTCACGTTCCACGTCAGAAGCAAGTATAACTTGTAATGGTGAATCGTTTCCAGCCACCACTTCTTGTTCCACATGTAAAATTTGTACAAAAGGACTTACACCTTCTAATTCTCGCTCTGTAAGAGCACGCAGTAAAGTTGTCTTACCTGTACCATTACGACCAACAAGACCATATTTATGTCCAGTAAGGATGGTAAGTTCTGTATTATCAAGTAAAACTTGTTTTCCCATGTGAATATGAATATTTTCACAACGTATATCTGTACTGTACTGTGCTCCCTCATTTTTGTGATGTAATTTCACAATGGTGGCAGCGCTAGCAATACCTCGCTTACGCAAAAATTCTTCATATTCTTCTGTTAACATAGACTTCTTTTCCTCTTCTTTACGTTTCCTACGTGTCTCCTTAGCAGCATTACGTTTTGTCTCCCATGTCCAGTCCTCATTCGTGTTTACAAGTGCCACCTTACCAACACTACCTATCATTGTGGCCTTCTTAAGATTCTCCTCGTATTGTCGTCCAATACTGATGGCATTCACAAGACGACTAGAGTCCTCCTTCGGTTTCTGTACCAATCCTGCTGCCTCCATCTTTGTATAAATTTCCTCCACTGCCTTTTGAACGGCCTCATCGTTAGCACAAACGTCAAACTCTGTAAAGTACAACTTGAGTGTCTGTTGTATGGTCTCATCGGGTAGATAAGACTCTGGGTCCATCTGTCCCTCCAACATCTTCAGCAGATACTCCAGCACACACTCGTCCAATCGCCTAAGCCCCACTTCTGGCACACTCTCCTGAAAGAGACGCACAACATCGGGGTGGCGGGCGTCAAGTACGGCCTTTACCTGTACTACGTCCATAAGAGCAAAAATAGACGACTACTAGTATTCGTACTTACTTTCTCTTTTTTTTTTATTATTTTACTTGCGTTTTATTTTCCTATAAATGTAAAGAGTAAAATATTTTTTTTTTTGTTGTTCGTGTTTTTATTTTGGTTTTGCAAAAAGAAAAAAGATAAGAAGGAAAAAAAAAAGAAAACCTGTACACAGAAAAAAAAAAAAAAACGTTATTGTAACTCACTTCTATGATCTCTCTATTTGATCATTCAAAAAAAAAGAAAAAAAAAAGAAAAACACATCACTTGAAAGACTTACATCAATGCCATAAACTTGTTCTTTTTTGTTGTTGTTCTTGTAACTACATTTGTACGGTCAAACCACGCAATGCCAACTCTGCCTTCCATTGTTCCATCTCTTGTGAGTATAATTCTAATAATGCACGGTATCTAGCGGAAATAGACTCAATATTTTCCATACGTTTCATCTCTCGCTGTTCATCACCTGTAGCTCCTCCTGCCATACGTTTCCCATGTTGTCCAGATGCCAATTGTAACCGTACGAGAGCTCGAGATTCCTCATCCACTAATCGTACTCGCTCTTCATTAATAACTTGATCACGAATAGTAGCAAACACATGTTCTGGCAGGTTGTCCCGCCTCTTATTCACATCGTGTAGAGCCCCAAATCTACATCCAGGGCGAATACCTGAAATATATGAATCGCGATCCTTTCCAGTGGGATAATACGGCATTCTTTTTTTTTTTGCTTATCCATAAATCCATATATATACGAATATTCAAAGAGAGAGAAAGAAAAAAAGAAGAGAATATGAAACAAAAATAAAAATGGAACAACAAAAAAAAAAAAAAACAGAGAAGTAAAATACTCTTCATCTTCTTCAATGCACATGTAAAAAAAAAAAAGAGCGTTTATTATTTCTTACGACATTTTCAATACCTGATCAAAGGAGAGAATCATCATTTGACTTACCTCTCTGCAATAAGTAGTGAGAAACGGTGATTGGCTTCGGTTTTTTTTTGTTTTTGTTTTTTTGTCTTTGTTTTCTCTCTCTCTCGTTAACTCGAATCTCACTTTTTCTTTCCGTTTTTAGCTCCACTAGCCTTAGGCCGTTGATTCTGTTGCTGCTGTGCAGACTTAAGTCGCGGTTGTGGCACCACTTTGCGCAGAAAAAATGCGTCAGTCTCATCAAGACCTGAATAGTAGTTTTCCACCCTTTCCACCACCTCAAAACCAAACTTTTTGTAAAATTCAAATGCTGGAGAACCTACTTGTACATGCAGAGTTACTTCTCCAATGCGAACCTTCGTTTCTTCCGCCACATTTTTCAAAACTCTTGTCAGCAAATGGCTTCCAATGCCAAGATGGCGATACGGCTCAAGAACCACTATAGTCATAACATAGAGACGTAATTCATCCTCATTGTCTGTTTGTTCCAGACGACACGTACAGCTACCAACCAGCACATCATGGTAGAAGGCGAGCTGATTGTATTGATGAGGGCACGGCCTTACATATTTATCATAATACTGGTCGTGGTACTTTACAGCAAGGCAGTACTGATCTAGTATACGAACACGTTCCACCACACGTGGGTCATCCAGTGTGCGAATTACCAGACCTTCCACCTCTGGCAGCTCCTTTTCAAGACAGTTGTCTTCCTTTCGGCTGGTACCATTAGTATCGGCCATGTTATGTTTTCGCCTTCTCTCTCTCTTTTTATGTGTAGATAAGGGTATGGTTTTAATTATATTACCTTCGCTTCTTTCGAGAATAATAATAAAGAAACAAAGAAAAAAAAAAAAACACAGAAATCTGTGTTATTATTCTCCAGCTACAGCCTTTTTAACGTTTGTGTGTATATGTGTGTGCGTATATAAAATAGTAAAAAAAAGAAAAGGGAAAGTAGCGAAAATCAAAATTACAGATACTTCTTTACAAGAAACAAGTGAAATCACTACACAACAATAGAAAGAAAAGAAAAAAAAAACTGCAAATACCACAGCAAAATCTCTACCAAATAAAAATTGTACAAAGCATCTACAGACAAAAGAACAATACACGCATTTACTCTTTATCTACACAGATTCCTTACACTTGAGTCGAAGTAATAGTATTAGCAGTATTAGTAGTAGTACGTGCCAAGACATGTTCCGTTAAATTTTTAGTTACTTCTTCTTTTGAAGGAAGATTTTCAACTGACATTGTAGTTTTATCTGTATAGTATGTGGACTCAAATGATGGTTTTGCAGAAAAAGTTAAAGTATTAAGTTCTCCTTGTTGTTGATCTTCTTGATGACACTGATGGTGAGGTAAGGCCATGGATTTTTCTCTTTCAAGTGACTGACGTAGCGTGTCGAGAACACGTTCTTCCTCCTCTCGTCGTGCGTCTTCAGCCATTTCAGCGTATAACCAATTTTTCAGTTCTCCTGCAAGTTTTTTTACGTCAGCTGTACGACGCATAGAGGGATCATTTGGGGTATTCATCTCTGATTTTGTTGTTGTCAAGAGGAGAGAAGAATTGTGGTCATTCTCTACAGCGGTGTTGGGTGTATCATCTATTAAAGACCCTTGGACTTCAGAAGATGTATCTAATCCCCGCACCCCTTTAATTAGGGTAGAATGCTTCACTTGCTTATTTCGAGTTACTTGTGGTTGTTGTTGTTGTTGTTGTTTCTGTTGTTGTTGTTGTTGTTGTTGTTGTTGTTGTCGAAGAAGAAGAGCAGGTCGTTCCGTTACAGTAATAGATGATTTATGTTGTGCACGCCGAAGCTGATGACGCAAATCAGCAATTTGTGCTTCATATACCGCCTTCATTCGTTCCTGTTCCACCACCATCGCATCTACAGTGTCGTGAGTGCGTTTATCCACAGCACGGGCGTTGCGTTTTATTCTATCCAGACGTTCCTTCAAGGAGCATTCACTCGCCTCTGTGGCTCCAAGTCGAACTTTTAATTCATTAATCTCATCAAGCTGAGAGGAAATAACTCGTCTAGTATCTTTTAATTGTTCAGAGAGACTCTTGTTACGTGTACGGAGGAATTCATTTTCTTTTTTCAACTCTTCCATATGTAGTCTTGTTTCATGTAATTCTCGCTCAGTGGCTTCTGAAGATGAAGGAACAACATCAACAATTGATTCCACAACAGGAGAACTAGAAACTTTTACTGTATTTTTGATAGCATTAACTAAAGCCATATCAGATGAAACTCCCTGATCTTTCAATGAACGAAATCGTTTTGGTTTGGATTTAAGAATATCCTCACTATAACTATTTAGTGGTCTTTTTTGATCCTGTTGGTTGTGGTTTTGATTGTGGTTCTGAGGATGATTACCTTCAGTTACCAAGGTATTCTCTCCATAAACAATTTCGCTACTTGTAGGAACAGTACTCGTAGAGACTGTTGTAATTGTGGTTGTTGGTGTTGGTGTTGGTGTTGATTTTTTTAAACGTTGCGTCACCTCGGGAACTCGTACAGGACGTTTTTTAAAACCATTTTCCTGCGCAATAGAATTCTTTACTGATTGAGATTCTGTTGAAACAACTTGTGTAGTCTCAGTTTTTCTTGGCTGTATGCATGGTGTTGGCTGAGGAACGTAATTTGTAATCGGCTCCGGTGCTATTGTTGAGGCGAGAAATGATGCTTCTCCATCACGCAGCAGCGGAGCCCCATCGAGGGAAAGTACAGAGGGTTGAAGATGGGCGACAAGTGCTCTATATCCACTCATACTCGTTACTGGATTTTCTCGCAGGGAGAGCATTTCTAATGATGGAATAGAAGAAAGAAAAATAAGTTCGTTAGCGTTGTCTATCATGTTGTGGTCAAGACTCAGCAGTCGCATTTGTGTCATGCCCTCTACACCGGCGGTACGCACAAGACGATTCCCATCAGCGCGGAGTACCTGCAAGGGCTGTGCGCGTGTGAATCCGTTAAGACTATGAAGTTGATTGTAACTCACATTTAATTCACGCAGATGTGGGAGTCGTCCAATACCGTCAAGGGTTTGCAACTTATTATGCGAGACATCCAATTGTGTGATGGTGACAGGTAAAGAACCAATCATAACAATTTTATTGTGACTTGCGGTGAGTCGAGAGAGGGAAACTAATGCGTCTAATTGGTGTAGTTGTTCAATGTGATTGTGGGAGAGATCAAAGGAGGTGATGAGAGAAAGTGTCTCTTTATCCTCGCGGGTGAAGAAGACGGCGCCGAGATCAATCTCCCTAATGTTCCGGCCACTCCCAGAGACATGCACGTCCGTCGTGGAGGCAGCAGGAACAACTACGGTGTACATCACCACAAGTACTATTGTATAAATAGAAGAAATAAGAAGAGAGAGAGAGAGAGTGCAAATAAAAATAAAAAGAATAATAATTAATAAAGAAAATAATAAATATACAGGTAACTAAGGAGAGGGATCAAGTATCCGTCAAGGCACCCCACACTCCCTCCTATGGATATTTGATTTCAATTGTTTTTTTTTTTTCCTTTTTTCTTTGCTGACTTCAAAACAAAAGAAAAAAGCGCATCTATTCGTCATTTGCACACCCAAGCAGACATTCACTAACAAAATAGTAGTAATAGTAGTAAATAATATTTCCTCTCAACTATCTGCCATACTTTTGGTCCTACAAGGACAAATCATATATATATATATATATATATATATATCGTCAATTCTATGAAATGAACCTCGATGCAATTTCACAACACCGAGTTACACAGTTTTCTCTATTTCTCAACAAGACATACAAACTACAAGGTAACATGTAAAACAAGAAAAGAAAAGAAAAGAAAAAAGAAAAACACGCATATCTCTTTCCCTCTCTTTACACAGAAAAAAGTACTCACTTTGATGGGGTTGCAGATGCCAAAAGTGCTGAGAGATTGCGTCCAAACGATACCTTGGATGTTGTCATATTATTAGCATCTCGTTCATTATTGTACTTTGATTTTTGTGTAGACAATGGTGTTTGATTTGCTGATGGACAACTCAGCGTAAACGGTGCCCGTTTATTAGCACGCACGAACCATACTTCCTCCTCTTCATACTCCCTCTGTTCCACAATGCGACTGTGTATATCCTCCTGCAGCTTACTTGTACGCTCCTGCTTCTCTGGTGGCTGCAGTAAAAGTGCGGCTTCCTGCAATTCTCTACGCAACGTCTCCACTTCCCTCTGCAGTCTATCTCTATCTTGTGTGACACTCTGGACGAGTATCTGCATTGCCTTACACACATCATGGTCACCAGATAATCCAGAAGAGTCCTTTCTCTTCTCATCTTTACGTTTGGTACTCTTCTCATCCTTTTTACTACTCGTACTTCCATCATCCTTTTCACCATCCATATCTATATCCACTTCAACTATCTGTTTTAAATCAACACTCACGGCTCCGCGCATCAACTGCTCTGACTCTTCATCCGCGCGTGTATACCACGACTGCCGCTGCGCCAACAGCCGCTCCACCTCCGCCGCCGTCTCCGCCTCTGCAATGCCAAAGGACGCACGTTCCGCCTCATGAATTGCGGCACAAAGTGACTTCCACTTACCTTCACGCTCAACAAATTTCTGCATGAGACTGTGTATTTGTTCCTCTAATCGTTTTACACGTCGGTGAAGATTATTTTCATTTGTATGCAATTCAGCAAGATTCTGTTCAAACTGTCTTTGTCGTCGTCCCATCTCCGCCTCCATCTTGGATAACTGTGCATAAAGTACAGGAGCTGCAGTGTTTGAGTACGGCAATGTTGGAGAAGACATCTCATGAAGGCCATACGCAGATTTGGCTGTAGTACCAGGTGTTGATGGTGATTCCAAAGCATAGACATTATTATTGATACAACTATTATCATTATTATTATTATTAATAATATTACGATAACTGTCTTCTTTTTCTATTTCTTGTCGTTTAAACTCTAATGTGGCTACATCACATGCAGTTACAAGTCGTGTTTCCATCACATGATATGCAGATACAATTAGCCAAAGCCATTTTTGTGCTTCTTGTCGCCTTTTCGGAGAGTGACGGAGAGTGTCTAGAATAACACCATTCAAAAGTGTAGCAGTTTCATGAACCTTTACAACCTCACCTGTTTCAGCATCTACGATATCTTCCAATAATTCTTGTGCAAAGGTACTATTTTGGGGTAAATTTCGAAGACTTTCCTGTTTTGTAGTTTGAAGAATTTGGCGTAGGTGTAAAACCTCATCTTCTGCTAGTGCCAACCTACGTCTTTCTTCTTCATGCTTACATTCAGTAGCATCAGTACTATTAGCAGCAGAATCACTCCTTACACTTCCTAATGTAGAAGAAGTATTAATAGGATTTGCTGAACGAAGTTTCGCTAATTGAGAAAGTAGTTGTAAATTCTGCATTTTTAGTTCCTCACATTCTTCTGATTTGGCAATAAATTTTTTTTGTAATTCAACTTCACGTTGCACTGTAGATACATTTATTAAATCTTCTTCTTCCTTATGATCTATCTGTTTTTTGTTTTTAGAACAACTAGTATGTGTATGGCTGTATGTATGATTCACACTCTCTTTTTTCGTCTTCACAATATCATCAACATTTTCTTTATCATTAGCCGAAAATTTTGCTAGTGTGGTTTCTTCTATGAAGGATTGTGGTTCCTTTGATGTCATGTCTGAATTAAAACTAAGCTGTTTCTCAAATGTTCCTTCTTCTTCTACTTCTTCAGATTCTTCCATTTCACTAACGTCTAGGGATGAAACAGAGGAAAGGCTGGTGGTTGTCTTCTTTCGTTGATTACTCTTTGAATTACTCCGACCTCTACGCATTAAGACTGCAACACGGAGTTGTTCCTGCAATGGCGGCGGTACAGCACTAAGAGGCATTGAACCCCCAGCGACTAAAGCTGCAATAGAGTCAATAGATTGTAAAAACTCAGTGAGTTCTGTCGTAACATCAATAGCAAACTCTGCTGAAAAGTCTGTGCGTTTCGTCAAGTGGTGTAAAAAATAAAATAGCACTAGAGCAGAAAATCCCTTTTCTGCATCACCTTTTAAAAGAGCATCGCGATTCAGTAAAATATGCGGAATACCAACAGCGTCTAATCCTGAACGAAGTGCGGTCCAATTCATTTGTGCTCGCTGTGATACCGTGTGGGTCTGTGTATTAGCGGTGCGGATGCGCAGGTCCGGGAATACCAAATTAAAGAGACTACACAACACCACACCATCCGCTAGATCTGTGTAATCTTTTAGACGGTATGAGGAGTATCGCTCTGCGAAGGCGAAGAGTTCTCTTTTACCAATAAGAACACTCATACTTCTTTCTTTTTTTTTTGATGAGAGTATTTTGAAATAAATTATTCCTGCAGTTCCTCCGATTTTCTCAATCTCCCTGTTTTTCCCCTTATTTTTCCTTCAGTTGATGTTTATTTGTCGGTTTGTGTTCTCTCCGGCTCTGTCTAGCGCAAGGACGAAATGAACGTCCTAACCAGCCAAACGTCAACGCCCCTAGGCACAAACTATATTGGTAAAAAGAATAAAAATAAAAATAGAAAGAAAGAAAAGGAAAATGGAAAAAAAAAAGAAATAAAGAAAGAAACAAAGGGGGCACACATAAAAGATTAAAAAAAAAAAAAAAACTAAAAATAAAAGAAAAAAAAAAAAAGAGAAAATACAGAATGCAAAGGATGTACAACCCCATACTTCATTCTCACCTGCACGGCATTCGTCCGTGATGAATGGCATGAACAAGAAAAAGGGTGTGTGTTTTTTCTTTTTTTTTTTTCTTCTTGTTTCTCCTTTTTTTTTTTTGGTTTCTTTGTTTGTTTGGTTGTTTGTTTGTTTTACTCTTCACTTTCTTGCCAAGACGGATGCCACTCTACTCGTGCGATGAAAAACTAACATCCCCCTTCCCACTCTCCTTTTTTTTTCTTCTGAACTCTCTCTCTTTTTTTTTTTTTGCTTTTCCCTCAACTTTGTTTTTTTTTTTCCCCGTATTTTTATGTATCGCCGATTGAGCAGCCATGTGAATGTGCTAATTGGAGTTCGAGTGTCACACCATATTTGAACGGAAAATGATATCCTTTGTTTTTTCTAGATTGAAAAAAGTGTAGTTCACAATAACCTCATCTAGCCAGTTAACCATTGGATCGTTAAGAAAATCCCTGTCTATGTAGAAAAACACTGGCATCTCAACTAATTCATGCGGTTTAAACCGCTGCTCCTCAAAACAGAAACACTGAATCTTATTTAAATAGTTCGTCGCCTCTGGAGGTGCAATGGTGTAGGACGATACTCCAAGCAATGTACGGTTACTGCGATTATACGCTGAGTAGAACGCCAACGCCGGTTCACCAATAAGCACCTCCACTTCCTTCTGCAGAGGGACAAACGCAATAGGCATGGTATTACCAACATCACTTAGGAAACGCACCTTCAGCAGTTTCTTTGGAACTGGGTACGACTTATCCATCTCCTCACGCTGGCGTTGAGCCTGCGGGGTGTAAAACTTCGGGTCCGCACCGCGGCCAGTAGGGGCGCAGTACATTCGATACAAAGGAACAAAGAGAAATGTACATCCAAGGGAAAGAATGGAAACACTTGTGAAGGCAGAAAAGAATTGACCACGTTCTTCATAGTTTTTGCGATTCTCGCGTTCAAAACCATTCTCTATACGAATCTTACGTCGCCCTTCACCAGCTCCATTAGCGGCACAACGGAAAGCCCACGAGCGACGCAGCATTCCGTGCGACACAACTGCAGTTTTCAAACTAGAAACTACTTTTTTTTTTGTTTATATCAATTTTTGTTGTTGTTATTGTTGTTAAGTGTGGGGGGAACGAAAAAAGTCTCGAAAAAAAAAAATAAGGTAGATAGATAGATAGATAGATAGATAGATAGATAGGAAAATAATAAAAAGAAAAAAAAACAGTATTAGACGGATAGAACTGTGTAGAAGAATATTTTATGTCACAGATCTGTAGACACTGTGGAAAACCTTCTTGAACACAAGAAAAGAAAAAAAAAAAGGGTTTGACTTCTGGAAGGATTCTTTTTTTTTTTTTCTTCTTCTCCCTCATGGGAGACGGTAAAAGTACTCTTTCTTACTACGTATAGGGGGAATAAATATATACTGCCTTGCAATCTATGATAATAAACAGGAGAGAAAAAATGAAGAAAATGGGGGTGTGTATGTTCTTTTTTTTTTTTTTGTTTGTTTCATCACTTTTGTTCATTTCTCTTTTCGATCCTCATTTTTGTGTTATGCACTGCATCCAGGAGAATGCACACATCTCACTTGTGGATGTTTTTTTTTTTCTTTTCTTTTTCTCTTTTTTTTTTTTCTCTTTAATCCCTTGTATTTCTTTCAAATTTTCCTTCCTTTTTTGTTATTTTCTCTTTCTTCCCACTGGTTCGGTTCAGAGATATATATTTTCTATGGTGATGTTCGCTGCCGAATAACATCTTCGCGCAGGTTTGGTGTAAACATTGATCGTTTGAAGTTATCCCCGCCCGCTGTTTGCCGCATTGGTGTTGTCATTTGCCCGCCCGCGGCCTCTTCTCCCTTTTCACTCACCTCACGGCTGACGGTGTAGTATTCATATGGAGATCGAAATAAGGTATCACGTTTCGCTCCAGGATGTGTAGACATAAAATATTTATAACAAGCACGAGTGTAATGTTGTCCTTTGCAGTCTTGAATAATGTCTTCAATATCACTTGTGGTTGGTCTAACGGCGGGGTAATCTTTACCTAATGGATTATACTGCTCCTTCTGCAGCATAGATCTAAAAGCAACTTCATCCTTAAATCGAAATGGACAACCATGACAGTCAAACCGATCTACTACAGGAGGAAGCGCCATAAGAGTCGCACAGGATGCGGAACTGTAATTAGCTTTTTTACCTTCCATTCCGTAATTGTGTCGAATATTATATCCATATGCTGTTTTTGCAAATGCTTCCGTATTTCCACCAGCTCCAGCACCAGCTCCACCCTTTTGTGTCATTAAAGAAGAAAAGAGAGTCATGGAATCTTCTAATGAAAGACCAATGGCTTTTAAAAATAATCCATATGTAAAACGTCCATGATGTTTTAAATGTCCTTCACGACGTAAATGTTCATCAATTTGACGCATACATAAAGGGAAATGCGTTTGGGCAAGACGACGAACATCACCTACACCAATGGCACCAGATGTCGCTTCTTGCATAGCATCTTCAGGTGATAAAACAAAAAGATCTAAAAATGCATCTACCATTCGCATTACAGTTTCCCGTTCTTCTTCTTCATTTTCATTTTCATCTTCACGGGAAGTTGATTTCATTCGTGCAAGATATGCTTCATGTAATCCCTTGTTTAATTTAGAACGAAATACTGTTAAAAATACTTCTTGTGCCTGATCACGATGTAAAATCACTTCTCCCTTAAGACAAAGAACACTACGAGTTTTTATAAGACGTGTAGCTAATGTTAACGGAACTGATAAATACTCATCTATAGTTCGCATCTGATTTTTCCCTTGTAAGGCGGAATCATATTGCACATATTCCTGCAATCGTACATCTTGTCGCTGCTCCTCAGAGAGTGGATCACAAGGAAGTCCATTTTCTTTCATAAGCGTAGGAAGAAATTCCGACTCACACTTCGCCAACTGTAACTTTAAACGTGCCCGAAGAAGTGTCTCTTCAGTTCTTACAAACCATTTACGCCACTTTTCACTCATACAACAGGCATAACGAGCCAAAAGATGTGAAAGAAGATCTTCATCAACTTCAAAAATAAATGCATTTCCAGAAGAACTTCCTGTACGTGAGGAAGATCGTCGTGGTGTACGTGCGCGCATCGCATCATCGGCTGCCGCTGTTGGGGGATCATCACTTCCAAGTAAGACGTGACCGGCCGCGTGGTGAGTGGTAAACTTTCGACGTTCCTGTGGTAATCGTGCTCCAATCTCATCTAATATGGAATTAAATCCTTTTCCATTTGGTGAGTTTTGCAGTTGATCAATCCACGCTAGTAACTCCATGCGTTTCGCCATCATGGCTTCTAGTTCAAATAGGGTACGATTACCTGCTGGCTTTCGTGTGTACATGGTGGACCAATCCAGCACGGGCGCTGCTGCTGCTGCTGCTGCTGACTTCAGACCCTGCGGCTCCTTCTCATTGTTAACAGAGAAACCTGCGGAGGTGATAATCGCCTGCATGTGTTCGTACGCCAATAATGATAGGAACACACAAACACACTAAAGAGAAAAATTGCAAAAAAAAAAAAACAGAGAAAAGAAAAAAAACAAAACAAAACAAAGAAGGGTTCAAAAAAAAAAGAAGAGAAAAATAAAATAAATTAAAAAAAAAAAAGAATAAATAAATAAACAAATAAATAAATAATAGTACTGTATTCCCTAAAACCAGATGGGTTCAATCTGGATTAGAACCAGGAGGGTTTTAAATCGTTACAGCAATCAGTAGAAATGAACAGACGAAAAAAAAAGAAAAAAACGAAATAAAAATAAAAATAAGATACCTATAAAACAGTATGACAACAAAGTAAAAAAGGGGGAGATATCTTCCGTTTTTTTTTTTTTTTCTTTTTTTTGCGTTTTCTCCAAATAAATATTTTTCCCCACAAAAGAAGGTCGTGAGAACCCAAGAAATAATAAACAGAAAAAAACAAAGGTATTCACCCTCATTTTTTTTTTGGCTTGAGTTTCATCTTCATGTAGACATAGGGCCGGAAAGGAGAAAAAAAGAAAAAAAATACAGATGTACATGCTGGTACAGCATCATCTGGTTTTCTCGCAACAAGAGAATAGAGAGAATGACAAGTAAGGAAATCAACAAAAAAATCAGAATCATAATAATCACAATAATTATAATAATAATAATTATAGGGATACCCCCTATAGTTATCATCGTGTCTTATCTGCTAGACGTCTTAGACCACTGTGACGAAGGGAAAACAATGAAGGTTCACGCCGCTTCATGTCATCCTTTGATTCCTTCACGTAACTTTGTACTTCTTGCTGCAGTTCTGGATCCCACTTTGAGACGAGTTCCTTTGTTAATGCTACTAATGCCTGACGACGTTCGTACAGTCTTCTGAATTGTTTATGTTTAGATATGACGGACATAAACAGTGGTAATGCCGCCCTCATTTCCATTACAGCCTCTTGTAGAATAAGAAGAGAGACATACATAGCCATAGGAAGACTAAATGAAACTGTTAAAGCTGTGCGAAGATCTGTGTAGATGTATGTAATAAGTGATACAATCGAAAAGACGATAGGAACTGTAAAAAAACCAACAAGTAACTTATATGAACCTTTTACATCAGCTCCAACAACTTTAACACTACTTTCAGAAAGAGCTTTACGTCTATGACGTTCTGATAAATAGCTTGCCAACATTCCAATAGGTAAACCTACCACAAAAAAAGGTACAAGAATAACAGCCATCAAGAAAAGCGTAAAAGAACGACGAAATAGTAATTGTAGTTGTGATGACTCACTGGATCCTAATTTTTCAAGAGTTGCAGCTTGACTATCACGTACAAGCAAAGCATTACAATAATCTTGATAATTTTCTACTTTATTTCGAAAATCTATAAATTCAGGATTATCTTTTTGTTCTTCCATTATTTTACTTAATCGTCTTGTAAGTCGAAGATAATCTTGGGTGGCAAGAATACAATTTTGTGGTTGATATAATTGACGAAATCCGTGAAGAAAATTTAAAGCACTCCAATTAGGAACATTAATGGTAAAACTACGTAATTCCGCATTTAATTGTTCCAGAAAAATACCTGTCGCCTCACGTTTATTAGTGCTAAAGAGTGTAACCAATTCTTCAGAAGGTGTAATGGGTTCACCAAACTCCACATGTGCACGACTACGAAATTTATGTCCATAGAAATAAGTTAAACCACATGGTACTACTTTTACACTTATTCCACGTTCTGCTGCCCCAAGACTAAATAATGCCACACCCGCTTTCAATGGAAGAAGTGATGTGCGATCATGAGATCCTCCTTCAGGAAATATACCAATACATTGATTATTCTGTAATGTTTGATAGACACTAGAGTACATGGTGGAATGATCAATACGACGTGATATTTTAAATGGTACTGGTTGAGAAACAATATTTCCTGGTAATAATGGCATTGTTAGTTGGACTTCTGTATCTGAACGAATACGATGTACTTGTGCTGAACATTTTAAATTTCCCTTTAACCAAATAATAACATCTCCTACTGCAAGACAGGTTTGAAATTTCGTGTTTTCCCCGTAAATCACATCTCCCTCCATGCGAGTTAACATTCCCTCACCCGGTGTGAGTGGCACATCCTGCGGTCTAATCACCGGCACCGCATCCATCATTCGACCAAATTGGCCAATAATCGGCCGATGAAAAGATTTCTCCGCCATCACAAAACGTACAGGTCTACCACAATTGGCACGAATCATCATAGCATCAATAAATTGATTTTGGTGATTTCCGTAAAATATAACAGCTCCTGTTTTTGGAATATTTTCCTTATTTACAACGGTAACTTCACGAAAGTAAACATTCATAAGAAGCCACATAAAGAAATCAATAAATAATGTAACCAAAAACCTTTTAAAACTACTCATATGTGTTGTTACAAATTCCACAGAATTAATTCGATCACGGTGGTCAGGCCATTCATCAATAGGAATATCTTTTCCACATCCCTCGCATTTTACAAATTTAGGACGTTTTTGAACCCCAATTCGATCTCTTACAATATCTTTCCTCTGAGATGTGGTTGAACTCACTGGTGCCTTTTCATTAATTTCTTTTTGTTTCTCCGTGGTGGTAGTTGAGGGCATTACTTCACCTTCGATTTCCTTTTTTTCAGCAGTAGTAGTAGTATTAACTTTATTCACCAGAGTGGAGTTTTCCTCTCGAAATTCAGGCAGTTTCTGCTCCACTCCTTCTGATGCAACACTTACATCTCCAGTGAATAGAGAAACGGATTTTTCCTTCTCTTCAGTCATTTCATATGTCTTTTTTTTTTTTTTTTTACTTTTTTTCTTTTTTTTTCTTTTTTCTCTTCGGCGCTACTTTTAAACTCTTTGTTTTTCTGCCTACTTTTATTTTTATTATTATTTTTTTTTTTTTCTTTCTTTCTTTCGTTCTATTACTTGAAGGGTAAGAATAGAAACGTACTGTATTTTGACGTTTACTTTTCTCTACGTATTGCCCTCCCCTTTAAGGAGTCCACATCGATATTGAGTTGAAGGAAAGGAGAAAACGTTAAAAAAAAGAAAAGAAGAAAATGATAGAGAAGAAAATAATAATAATTATTATTATTATTATTATTTAATGAGAAAACAAAGAAAGAAGCATATGTGTCCATTATTTCTATTCATGCTGTCCATAATGAGAAAATAAAGGGAATTGTTAATGCATGTACACCTTTGTCATGTGAAGACAGAGAAGAAAATAAATAAACTATGTTTATGCAGTAACAAAGAAAAGAAAAAAAAAATGATAAATGATAAAGAATGCAATAAGAATAAGAACAACACAAGAAAGAAATGTAACCCAAGAAATATTATATATATATATATATATATATATATATATATTTCCCTAAAGCCCATATTTCAATCAAGACTCAGTCCTTTCGTGATTCTATCAGATGAGCCACCTTAACAGCAAGGGCATACAAAGAGTCTCCCTTCTCACTCTTTTGTGGAATACTCATCGCCTCATCAAAACGATCATATGAAGTTCGACCATACATTTGCAGTATTTTCTGTGCCCCGATAAGTGCAACAGGCGGATATGGATCTGCCATAACGGTTCTCCATGAATGGGTTTGACTGCTTCCACCGACAGGATCCATCTCATCTAAGAGAGACACCAGTACATGTCGAGCTCGACAAACAGAAAACATTTGCACAGAACACAATGATCTATATAAAGCCCATAGGACACGAACACCAAGACCATCTACAATAGATTGGGCCGTTACTAACTGTTCACTGCAAAACATTTGTGAAATATCAGCATAAGGAGATCCTCTTAACGGTCCATTTTGAATAGTGATGGAACCAATAAGTCGATAATAAAGGCGCATCACACTTTGAGTGTCTACTACTTCTACATCAAGTAAGAATCGTTCAATTAAAGTAGTAAATGGTTCTACAGCTTGATTAGGATGTTTTCGTCCAAGAAACATTAAAGCGGCTAGTACATCAGGACATACTCCTCTGATTTTTGCTAACTCCAAACGATCTTTTGAACCAGTAAAAGAAACTAAATTAGTCGCTAATTTTTCAAGAATAGCAGCACTTCTATCTGTTGATAAGTTTTCACGACTTAATCGCATACAATAAAATGTCATTCGCCATCCAATATTATATAAAACGCCATCGGTATCTGCTTTTAGCATAACTGGAATCATAGATAAACAATCTGAGACTACATTAGCGAGGGCTTCTCGTTCTTCTAAGCGGGTTCCTACAGTATTTCTAAAAGCATTCATAATAACATCTGGAAGGCGAGCATCTTCTTCAACATTTTGAAGTATACATTGAACGATAGCAACTGCTTCTGGTTTATATTCTCTCATTTCTTTTAAATCCATATCATATGTAATATATCCTGGAAGTTCTCGAAATACTTGATGTGATAAATAAAATAATAATGAATAAAGGTGCCAATGAAATCCAACTTTAATAAGTTCCGTATAACATCTTTTTAAACTTGTAGGATGAAATCTTGATGGATTAACTCGAGTTGGAACCATAGAAACAGCATGAGTAAAAAGAACTTGAAAAAATGCTTGACGTGCACTTAATGTCATTGCTTGACGGTATAAAAATAATAATTTTGCTATAGGTGGATTTCCCAATTTTCCAAATTCTTCTTCATCTAAACTTATAGTAGCTTCTGTATCATCACTAGAAGGATCCCATTTTAATACTCTTTTAGCAAACGCCTCTGCAAAGGCAGCATACAACTGAGGATGAAATGCCATTATATTAGGAAGTATCATAAAATGATAAAGAGCTCTTGCATCTATAAGGTGAAGTTTATCAGGAGGAATAATAGCAACTACACACTTTGCAGCTGCTGTCCATACCATTTCATCACTACCTTCATGAAGAGATTGTTTTCTCAAAACGGTTAAAAGAAGCCATATTAATTCCTCTTCAAGTGCTTCCGTACATCCTGGAAATATCCCTTGTGTATCTACAAGTTGAAAATGCATACCCAAAGTTAGTAAAATATCATACACATGATTACGAACACACGCATACGTACTACCCATCATTTCAAATAACGTTGGAAGATAACAAATACTTACGGATCGAAAAAATGAGTAATTTGATTGAAGTGGAATTTTAGAAACATATGCGTCACACATTAATTTAATAAGAAAGGATGTTGCACGAAGTACGGCAGGATTTGAAGTATATTTTTCCCAAAATGAATTTAATACACGAACTTGTTGATCAATAACAAATTCTGTACATTCTAAAGGTAATTGATTAACATAATCTTTGCATCCTACAACATGATATTTTGCACTCCATAGACAACTACGTGCCTTATTTTTTTCTCTAGCCGTAGTTGCAAATTCTTCATCAGACCAACTAGAAAGAGGCATAATTCGTTTACCTTTTTCTGTATGTTGTGCTATAGGAGGTTGTAAATGACACTTCTGAATGTAATCTGGATTACTATTTAATTCATTCTGACGAAAAATAAGTGCTTCTTTTCCTGGAGGAAGTGTTCGACCAAGCATGTAGCTAAGTGGTTTATGATGAAGATATGTTTCCACAACTGTTTTAAGCTCTTGGTAAATACTTGTATAGGAAGAACGACACGCACTGTATGGGGTACATTTCTCAGCAATAGCTTGAAGTGTAGTCTGTGATGGAGGAAAACTAGAAATAAAGTTAAGAAGGAGTTGTCCAACATCACGGCGACGCTGTGGGTCCTCTACGAGTTCTAAACAACATTGATATACTAAATTACGTGTTTCAGGGGATGTTAATCGTTGATACAATACAGAACTTTGGTAGGCGACATCTGACGATTTGTTTTTCACACATTCCATCACAATCGCCGCGCGTATGGAATCCTCTTGTACCTCTGATGACTTCATTTTTTTTTTTTTTTTACCTTTTTTTGGTAGTTGTGTATGCTTCTGCGACTAGGGAAATGTATATTATATATGTAAATATATATATATATA